TAGATAGCCCCAGCCCTCTTATTTCTTAAGTGGGATTGTTTTCTTCATTTTTTGGTAGCTTACTATTATTATATAGAAACACTGGAGATTTTCACATGTTTGTTTCCTGACACTTTACTGAACTCATTTGTTAGTTCTAATAGTTTTTTTTTTGAGTCTTTAGGTTTTTCTAAATATAATATTATATCATCTGCAAATAGAGACAATTTGACTTCTTTCCAACTTGGATGTCCTTTATTTTTTACTCTTGCCTAATTGCTCTGACTAGGACTTCTTGTACTTTGTTAAATAAGAGTGATTAAGAGGGCCTTCCTTGTCTTGTTCCTGATTCTAGAGGAAATGATTTCAGCTTTTTTCCATTCAGTATGACGTAGACTGTGAGTTTGTCATGTATGGCCTCACTGTGCTGAAATAGGTACATTTTATGCCTAATCTGTTGAGAGTTTTTATTTTTTTKGGGGGGGTACTTCCCTTTTCTGTATTTTATTTAGAGATAGGGTCTCAATGAGTTGCTTAATGCCTCACTATTGCTGAGGCTGGCTTTGAACTCCGATCCTCCTGTCTCAGCCTCCCAAGCTGCTGGGATTATAGGCGTGTGCCACCATGCCTGGCTTGAGAGTTTTTAATCATGAAGGGATGTTAAGTTTTGTCCAATGTATTTTTGTACCTACTGAAATAATCATATGGTTTTGATTCTTCACTTTGTAAATGTGACGAATCAAATTTTTTTTATGTCAAACTATCCTTGTATTCCTGGGATGAATCCTACTTGATCATAGTGAGTTATACTTTTGATCTGCTGTTGAATTCAATTCCCTTGAATTTTGTTGAGGATTTTTACATGTATCTTTACTAGGTATATTAGTAATTTTATTTTTCTTTGTTTGTCTTTGTCTGACCTTGATATCAGGGTAATGCTGACTTCACAGAATGAATCTGGAAGATTTTCCTCTTTCTCAATTTTATGAAATAGTTTGAGAAGAATTGGTATTAATTCTTTAAATGTTTGGTTGAATTCAGCAGTGAAGTTATCTAGTTCCTGGCTTTTCTTTGCAAGAAGTCTTTTTATTGCTGATTCACTCTCCTTACTCATTATTCTATTCAGATTTTCCATTTCATGGTGGCACAATCTCTATAGGTTGCATGTATCTAGGAATTTATCCATTTCTTGTAGTTTTCAAATTTGTTGGTATATAGTTGTTCATAATACTCTCTTTTGTATTTTCGTCACATCAGTTTAATGTGTGCTTTATCATTTCTATGTTTGATTCTTCTCAGTTATTTCTTTATTAACCTGATTAAAAGCCTGTGGATGTTGTTTATCCTTTGAAAAAACCAACTGTTTATTTCATTTATCTTTTACATTGTATTTTAAATCTCTCTGTTGTTTATTTCTCCTCTGATCTTTATTATTTATTCCTCTCTCTTAGAATTTGGTTTGTTATTTTGTTATTTTTTATGAGGTAAAGTATTAGATTTTTTTTGAGAACTTTCCTATGTTTTTTTAAAAAAATATCTTTATTTTACATTTATGTGGTGTTGAAGATGGAACCCAGTGTCTCGTGCATGCTAGGCGAACACTCTTATCACTGAGCCACAACCCCAGCTCCTCTTATGTTTTTTTTTAATATTTATTTTTTAGTTATAGTTGGGCACAATACCTTTATTTTATGTATTTTTATGTAGTGCTGAGGATCGAACCCAGGGCCTTACACATGCTAGGCAAGCACTCTACCGCTGAGCCACAACCCTAGTCTGAGAACCTTCCTATGTTTTGATGTAGGCATTTATTGCTATAAATTTCCCTCTGAATGCTGCATTTGCTTTCATAATTTTTGGTATGTTGTGTTTACATTTTCATTTGTCTGTGGAGATTTTTAAAATATTCCTTTTAATTTCTCCATTGGCTCATTGGTTGTTTAGGAGAATTTTTTCCCCCTTCTTTTTTTCAGGGCTTGTGATCAAACTCAGAGCTTCACACATGCTAGGCAATGCTCTGCCACTGAGCTGCAGCCCTAGCTCTGGAATGTTGTTTAGTTTCTATATATATTTTATTAGAGATGACTTTAATGTTTAAATGTTAGGGTCGTTTTTTAAAAAGGCACAAGAAAAATCAGATTTAGTAAGTAGTATGAAAGAATTTTTGATTAAGCTTACGTTAGCATTTTAGAAACTAAAAAGTTCAAATGTCAGGGGCTAGCATTACCATGAATACAATGAAGATAAATTTCTTATCACCCATAAGTTATATAAACTCAACTGAARTAGAATAACAATAATCACTGTAAACATTTTTGGAACTCTACAAAGTTATTATTTCAATGTCTATAACATTGGGAAATATTTAAAATTACATTTTGACCACTGATTTAATTAACAGTGACACAACAAGTTGAGGGAAAGTATATTGTAATAGTCTGAAATAAAAACCTATATTTTTCTTTTCTTCACTAACTGTGTAATTAACAAAAATGTRTATATTTATGGAGTACATCATGCTATTTTGATATATTATATACATTATGGAATTCCTCACATTTTTTCATAGTGAAAACATTTGAAATTAATAGCATTTCTCAAAAATACAGTATTTTTTATTAACTAGAGACACCATGTTTTACAGTCTTGGAACTTATTCCTCCTTAACTGAAATYCTGTATCCATTCACCAACATTTTACAAATCCCCGAGCCCCACCCCATTCCTCTGGTGATCACCACTCTACTCTCCATGAATTCTATTATTTTTTTAGAGTCCACAAATGAGAACATAYTGTAATTATCTTTCTATGCTTCACATATGTCATTCAGTATAATTTCTCTAGGTTCATTTATGATGTCCCAAATGACAGGATATGTATTTTTATGGTTTCTAAAGTTCCTCCTATAATTGATTTCTAATTTTGTATCATTGTTGTTGGAAACAATTCTTGATATATTTCAAATTTTTAAAATATTTGATAAAGCTTGTTTTGTGGCCTRCTAAATGGTCATTCTTGGAGAATGTTCTGTGTGCAATTGAGAAGAATATGTATTCTACAACTGTAAGCTGGAAGGTTATGTATAATGTTCTTAGATCTAGTTTGTCTAAAGTGCAGTTAAATTTCAGTATTTCCATGTTAATTTTTCTGTCTGATTAATTTGTTGAAAACGGGATAGTGAAGTCTCCTAATTTTATTGTCTCACTCTCATCTCTATCTTGTTGTACTTTTATGTCCATTAATATTTTCTTTATATACTTAGGTGCTCTGATATTGGCTAGCCATATATATGATTATTATATCTTTTTGATAAATTGAGCCCTGTATCATTAAATAATGACTTTCTTTGTATCTTGTAGCAGTTTTTTTTCTGTGCTGAGGATTGAACCCAGCCGGTACTCTACCATTGAGCTAAGCCCCCCAATTCTTCTTGTAACAGTTTTAAACTTGAAGTCTATTTTATCTGATATAAGAATAGCTGCACTTGCTCTCTTTAGGATAATATTTGCATGAGATACCTATTTTCTCTCTTCACTTTTAGCCTATGTTTCTCCTTAAGACTAATCTACCAGGCTGGATATAGTTGGATCTTGTTTTTCAATTCTTTCAACCACTGTGATTTTTGATTGGAGATCTTAATACATTCACATTCAAAGCAATTATTGATAGGTAAACAGTTATTATACCATTTTGTTGCTGTTTTCTCATTGTTTATAGACCTTTGTTCCTATGTTTCTCTGTTGTTGTTCTCTCTATGATTTGGTGATTTTCTTTAGTGCTCTATTTTATTTCCTTTCTCTTTATCATCTGTGTGTCTTCTCTAGTTTTTTTTTTTTTTTT